AGAGGCGAAAGTCATGGGAGTTCTCTTAGAATCCTGCCACCCACACCCACCTTTCCTCCATGAACTAAATCTAAAGGCAACTAAACAGCTCGAGTTGATGAGTAAAAGTCATAAATGTGGAGGAATGGCATCATTAGAAAACTCGCCATTTTGCAACTCCCTAATAAAATAATCGATTTAGGCATAGATCATCAATGAAGATGAAACAAACAGCAGATGAGGGCATAATGCGGAACTTGAGTGCCGACCACATCTGAGCCCACTTTGGAGACCTGACTACAGAGCGACAGCTGCGTGTCGTGTGTCTCCTGCTACAAAGCACACGGCACCACCTGTGAAGGCTTCTTGCCACAAAAGTCGAACCAAATCTAACCAAGCGGTTAAAGCTAACTTTCAGTTTACAGGAAATGTAGGAAATAGAAGAAGCAAACAGAAAAACCCAGAATGTGGAACGTTCTACAATAAACCTGGCCCGGTTTCTTCAATAAGTCAATTACCTGTGCGGGGAGCGGGCAGGGGGGGTACCTGTTCTAGATTAAAAGAGACGTTACTACCAATTACAGTACAAGAAGAAAATCTGGATCCTGATTCACACAAACAAGAGTAAAAGGACACTTTTAGGTTAACCAGAAAAATCTGAACATAGACTCAGTATTAAAGTAAGAATCATCACTTTCATTGGCTGGGATAAAGGTGTGAGGTAGTATACAAAAACATTCACGTGTTTTACAGATGTACATGGGGCTGAAACGCCATGAGGGGTTTGCTAATTGCTTTAAAATATTTCAGCAACCACAAAAAGAGGAGATGCACAAAGCAAGTATAGCAAAATGTTGAAAATTATTGAATCTGGGTGATGTATATGCATGGGGTTCACTATTCTAGTCTATTTCTGTGTATGACTAGATATTTTTACAATAAACAATTCATTTAAGAGCTTTCATTCGTTGAGCATCTGCTGAGAACCAATCACTGTTAAGGGCTTCATGTAACATTTCCTGCCAAATCCTCACAACAGCCTTATGAACGAGGTACTGTTCTTAGCCCCACGTTTACAGATAAGAAAACTAATGAAATAACTACCAGTTTGGGGTGTAGCCAATAGGTCTGCCAATCACCCATCACCACAACAAAGCCTCAAAGGCCAAGTAAATGAAGGATTTCTAAGTGTTTCGTTTCACAAAACATTTTTACGCATCTGCTGGGCAGTCCGCGGAACCCTGCATTAACCATCAGCATGGGGGCGCTGGAAGGTACGGGAAGAGAGAAGAGTTTTGGGCAGAAAGAGAAACACGAGAAAACCCCATAAGTCAACTAGGCGGTGACGCACGGAGACGGTCGTGGAAAGGGGCAGACGGAACAGAAGGGAAAGGGAAAAGGAGCATGCTGACGCAGGAGGACAGAAGAGCAGGGAGGCGGACAGACCTACTCCTACCACGGTCCACCTTCCACTCTTCCCCACTCCCGATCACCAGCCAGCAAATGAGAACGCCACACGGCAGAAGGAGGGGCCAGACAGACGGGGGCTAGACATACTAAACACACAGCTGTGTCAAAACATAATGACAGACCCGTGTCCGGTGCACCCACCTTGTACTCTCTCCCCAGCCCCACCCCCACTCCATCGCTGCTTCTCCCTGTGACCTTCCAAGTCCAAACTTCGCTGAAACTCCTGCCCAGCTCACCAGCTCCAAGCAAAGTGGAAGGAAGGGAAGAAGGAATTATCTATCTAAATAATTTTTAACTTTTTTAATAGTTCAATTGAGATAGAAGTCACAGACCATCAGGGCCCGGTGCAGCTGCTCTCAGGGAAGACTTTGTGGCTGGAGCTAATGTACAAGGCCACATGCATGCCACTGGGTGCTCAGATCAAAGGCTCCTGGAGCCAACTTCAGGTAAGGTTTGATCAAAATAGAAAAGACACGGGGCCGGCACGGTGGCGCAAGCGGTTAACCGGTTCAGATCCCAGGCACGCACTGACGCACCGCTTGGCGGGCCATGCCGTGGCGGTGTCCCATATAAAGTGAAGGAAGATGGGCACAGATGTCAGCCCAGGGCCAGTCTTCCTCAGCAAAAAAAGAGGAGGATTGGCAGATGTTAGCACTGGGCTGATCTTCCTCACAAAAATAATTAATTAATTAATTCAAAATTAAAAAAAAAGAAAAATAGAAAAGACATGTTTGGGAGTCGGCATGTGTGTTGGGGGGGATGGCAGGCAGGAAAGGGGTTACAGGAAGAGGGGCAAGGAGCAAAGACACAAAGGGAGAAGGAATCCTCAAGGCATTTCAGAGACTGGAATGAGAGCTGCCAGGGAGAGCAGGTTTGTTACAATCCACCAGTATGTCTTAACCACAGGGAACCACTTGCTCAAATTATATGTTAAAAAATACCTTCCTCTCATAGTAGCATTTTTCCTAATAGCCAAAAAGTGGAAAGAACCCAAGTATCCATCAAAGGATGAAGAGAGAAACAAAATGTGGTCCATCCATATAGTGGAAAATTATCAAGCATAGAGAGGAATGAAGTCCTGATGTAGCTACAACACGGAGGAACCTGGAAGAGATCACGCTGAGAGAAGCTGGATGCAAAGGCCACATGGTGTATGATTCCATTTACGGGGAGTGTCCAACACGGGCAAATCCATAAAGATAGAAATTAGGTCAGTACTATCTAGGGGTTGGGGGGAGGGGGAGAATGGAGAGTGACCGCTAAGGGGTACCAACTTTCTTTTCCAAGTGTTGAAAACCTCCTAAGATGAGACTGTGTTGATGGCTGCACAACTTTGTGAATAACTAAAAACCACTCAACTGTGAACATTAAATGGGTGAATTTTATGCTATGTAAAATACATCTCAATAAAGCTGTAAAAAATTTCTCTTAATTTTAAGTAATAATTCTTTTTTTCCCTTCTCTCCCAAAGACGTGGAGTTTCTCTCTCTTGTTATCATGACAGTTTTATTTTCTGTTCTTTTGGTACAAAATCAGAAGCAAAGGAGAGCATTTATGTAGAGGACAGCTAACCACATTCCATGAAAACAGTGAGAAGCAGTGACGTCAAATGAGGTGAAAGCCAAACCCTTTTAACTGAGCTGTTCCCCCCGCCACATCCTGACGATCAAGATGAAATTTTTCTACGCGGCCAAGGGCCATCAGCTTTCCACACACGTCCACACAGCAGACAGGCCACACTTCATCTGCCTCTGCAGGGCACACCGTCCACCCTTTGACCATGTATTTCACGAGTTATCACAGAAACTACGTCCACCGGAGACCACCTTAATAGAGGGCTAATTTTTGTAGACCAGGTAAAAACTGGTTTACAAAATCCAAAGACTTTCTGCACTGGTTTCTGCTCTACTTGAACAAAAAAGGAGCATCACAGGGGCCGGCCCAGTGGCATGGTGATTAGGTTCGCGTGCTCCACTTCTGGCAGCCCGGGGTTCACAGGTTCACATCCCGGGTGCAGACCTACACACCGCTTGTCAAGCCACGCTGTGGCAGCATCCCACAGAAAGTAGAGGAAGATGGGCACAGATGTTAGCACAGGGCCAATCTTCCTCACAAAAAAAAAAAAAAAAAAGAGTATCATAACTCTTTCTAAAAAAAAATCTATCCAGTTCTTACTGGGTGACCTTCTTGAGTACGTTTTATATTCCCAATAGTCTTTAAAGGATGATAGGAGTAGAGGAGAACTGTGAATCAGAACAAGTTTCTGCACCCCCAGAGTCTACATCCCCATACCCGGAATTATCTCTAAGAATACTCAGTCTCAAAGGGATCAGTCAGTCTGTGTCTATGAATCACAGAAACAGAACTAAATGCAGACACAGAGCTCTAGGGAACTTCAGTAAGTAATTTCCTCTAGTATCAAAATAATTTAAAAACTAAGACCCAGATCCTCAGCAAAGCTTGTCTGAATAATTGTGGGAAGCAAGCAAGGTGCAAAGAAAGAAAAAGAGCTTCCTATCGTCTTATATTCAGCTATGCATTTTTCACGGAAAAACCCTAGAATTATCTGTTTATCACATCGCTCTGTGCAGATTTACAATACAGCCAGCTGGCAGGCCAAATGATGAATCCTATACTAGTTGAGAACAAAATAGTGTTTAGGAAATTTCTGGACAGCAGGAACTGATTTTGGGGAATGAAAAAAAATAAGTATGTGGACTACAGCTCTTATCTAACCCGGCTGAAAGTCATCTCTAAACAAACTGCCAGCCTTTCAGAAGGCAGGTGAGAACATAATATGCCTCATTTCTTCAGAGGCCTTGAAACTCCACACTAAAGCAATTCCTGTTCAGTCCTAACTTCTCTAGGCGCTAAATGCTGGTAACCACAGAGCACGCCTGCACAGCCACACGTCTGCACCGGCCAAGACCAGCACTGGCCATGATCCGCTGGGCATCAGCCGGTGAGAGATGGATCCTGACCTCCGTGTACACAACAGGGGGAGTCCTGGTGACCCTCTAAGTGGAGACTCTCAATGGAGCCACAGGAATAAGAGTAACTGACGTGTAACTGACAATAATGAGCAGCAGTACAAAACCATAAACCCATGAAAACTGACGAGGTCAAGCAGCCAGCCCCACGCTTTGGAAGGAGACAGCCAACCACAAGAGTGGGAGAACGTTTCTGGAGACACACGCCAACTCGCTGTGACCACGGAAAGTACGACAGCAGTGAGGGAGGCTGAGAACCTCAGAAGCGGGTCCAAACAGAGAGAGCTTCTTTCTGATCACCACCTACCCCATCCTTTGTTTCTGGCAACCCCCAAACTGCCTTAAAACCTAGAGTCAAACTGGTCTGTTTCCCAATAGCTTATTCACAAGATATGTTACTAGGAATATAAGCAATCACTAAGGATCTTATTAATTACATGAAATTTCCTTCAGTCCCCACTGGAGCATAGAAAGCATTAGGGCTGCATTTATACGTTACTGCAGCGTCTCCTGGTACCACTCCTGAAATTACAGCATGCCAAGTGAACAAGCAGGACTTACCAATTTTCTGATTAAAAATCTTGTCAAAGGTTATTTCATTTCTCTCCTCAAGATACTTCTGCATCACGCTCCGGATACTAAAAGAGAAGAGTGACACGTTTTTAACAAGTACAGCCTGCAGCATGAGTAACCATCCCTAGAATGGAAAATATGTGGATGTCTTAACTCAAGGATACTGGCTAGGCGGGAGGCCCCTCTTGCTGACACCCATGACTGCAAGAACGGCTGAGTAGACTTAAAGGCAGGCACATCACGGCTCCATTAGTATCTTCTCCTATGACTATGGACCAACCTTACATGTGGAGACTCAACCCCAAAAAATAACTTAAGGACTCTGGGAAAGTTCATCCTCAACATTACCACTTTCCAAAATATGCACAGGTGTGTGTACACACACGACAAATTCTGCTGATCGATTAATGAGCTTCTTTGTGAAACAAAAGCAAATGTCCCCTGAATATATAATTAATATTCAAAAAAATCACATTCCTACACATCAACAATAAACCACAAGAAAACATAATTAGAAGGAAGATTTCACTTACAATAAATTAAGAATCATCAAATGCCTTGAAATAATATGTGTAGGAACTTTACAGGGAAAGTGACAAATTGTATTGAGAGACATTAAAGAGGATCTTAATAAATGGAAAGATACGCCACAGTTACGAACAGAAAGACCTAATGTTGCAAAAAAATTCAGTCTACCCCAATTTATCTATAAAATCAATACAATCCCCATTAAGATTTCAACAGGGTTTTTCACAGAACATAGAAACAGGTAAGCTCTTTATAAAATTTGTACAAAACAACACAGAATCAAGAATAACAAAACATTCCTGAAGAAAGAGAACAATGATAATGCGGCTAATTATGAAGCTAAACTAATTAAAACAGGATAAACAAACTGATGAAATGAACAGAGATCACATAAACTGACCCCCACACACATGGAATTTTGATATATAACGGAAGTAGCAGGCAGAAAAATGGGGAACGGAGGGATTGTTCAATAAGGGAACCAAAAGTGATTATTCAAATGGAAAAAGTAGAAACTGAATTTCTATCAGCAACTGATGGACAACAATTCGGCATTACCGTTTCTTTTTTTTTTTTACTTTTTAAAATGAACTAATTGAGGTATAATTTACATATAGTTAAATGTACCATTAGATGAGTTTCTTACATATAACTACTATCCTAATCAAGATATAGAATATTTCTACCACCCCAAATGGTGCCCCTTTGCAATCAATTTCCCCATATGCTAGGATCCAGGCAACTATGGATCTCCTTCCTGTTAATATAGATTACTGGCTCCAGTTCTAGAATTTTATATAAATAAAATCATACAATATGTTGTCTTTTGTGTCTGGCTTCTTTCACTCAGCATAAGCAGCTGCACTCATATTGTTGTATGCATAAATATTTAGTTCTTTTTTTCCGCCAAGTGGTATGTCATTGTATGAATATTCCACCATTTGTTCATCCATTCATCTGTTGATAGACATTTGAGTTGTCTCCAGTTAGGGACTATTATGAATAAAGCCACTATAAATATTTGTACATACATCTTTTTACGCGCATGTGTTTTCATTTTTCATGGGTAAATATCTAGAAGTGAAATTGTTGGTCATATGGTAAATTATATTTAACATTATGAAAAAGTGCTGAACCATATTCCTAACTGGTTGTAGGATTTTATATTCCCACCAACAATGTATGATAGTTCCAGTTGCTCCACAACCCGGGCCAGCACCTTGGTTGTCAGTCTTTTTAGTTTTAGCCCTTCTGTTGGGTGTGTAGTGGCATCTTGTTTTAATTTGTATTTTAATTTGTGTTTCCCTAATGAATAATGATGTTGAGCATGTTTGTACATGATCATTGGAATCTGCATATCTTCTTTTGTGAGGTGTGTAGTGAAATCTTTTGCCTTTTAATTGAGTTGTCTGTCCTATTCCTCAGTTATAAAGTTTCTTTATATAGCCTGGAAACAAGTCTTATGCCTGAATTATATGATGATAATATTCTCCCAGTCTGTACCTTGCCTCTTCATTTTCTTCATGAAGTCCTTCTAAGAGCAGAAGTATTTAGCTGATGAGTTCCAATGTATTGATCAGTTCTTTGGTGGATAATCTATGCTAAGAAATCTTGCACATCTCAAGGTCATGAAGATTTTAACCTATATTTTCCTTTAGAAAATTTAAAGCTTTTAGCTTTTATGTTTAGGTCTAAGATCCATTTCAAGTTAATTTTTGTGTATGATGCAAGGTAAGAATCAAGGTCCTTTTTTTCCTTACAATACATAATTGTTCCAGTATCAGCTGTTGAAAAACCATCCTTTCTCCATTGAATTACCTTGGCATCTTTGTCGATTCAACACTCTGTGTAGGTCTATCTTTGGACTATCTTGTTGCATTCATCTATATGTCTATCCTTACGAAAATACCATATTGTCTTGATTGCTATAGGCTTACAGTCAGTCTTGAAACCAGGTAATCTAAGTCTTCCAACTTGGTTTTATTGTTTTTTGTTTTGCTTGGCTATCATAGGTTCTTTGCGTTTCCATAGAAGTTTTTTAAATCAACATGCAAATTTCTTCCCAGGAAAAGGCTGCTGGGGTTTTGACTGGGATTATGTTGAATCTATAGATCAATCTGGGGGGAATTAACCTCTTAATAATATTAACTGCACAATCCATAAATATGACATACTTCTCCATTTACCTAGGTCGTCTTTAATTTCTTTTATCAATATTTTGTAGCTTTCAGTATAGAAGTCTTATCCTTTTCTTGTATTAGTTTTCTCTGGTTTGGGTATCAAGACAATATGATTCATAAAATGAGATGGGAACTATTCCCTTCTCCTTTATTTTCTGAAAGGGTTGGTGTAACATAGTATTAATTCTTTCTTAAATGTTTGATAGAACTCATCATGAAGCCATGTGAGCCTAGAATTTTCTTTGTGGGAAGGTTTTAAATTGCAAATTCCATTTCTTGCATAGATAGAGGCCTATTCATATTTTCTCTTTCTTCTTGTATTAGTTTTGGTAACTTGTGTCATTTAAGGAATTTGTCCATTTGATCCAAGTTGTTAAATGGATCTCAAAATAATTATTCTGAGTAAAAGAAGTCAGGTCAAAAAAAGAGAGAGTACATAGTGCTTGATTACAAAGAGGCAGGAGCAAACTCTGGGGATGATGTATATGGTAAAATAAAAATATATATATATTTGGTCTTGTCCCCCTTCTTTGCACAGAGCTCCTAAAACCCTTGGAATTTCCTGAGCGATAGGAGTGTCTTATTCATAACGAGCCCTTTTCAACCTGAGTTTATGCTAATGAGGTGACTGACTCTTGGTGGGCCCCTAGAAAGCTCCAGGACTGGGCTGGCTGCCAGAGGAACCAAACACGTGATTAGCGGGTTAGAACTTTCAGCCCCACCCCTTGAGGTCTGAGAGGCTGGAAACTGAGTTCTATCACCAATAGCCAATGATTTAATCAATAGTGCCTATGAAATGAAACTTCGAAAAAAACTCTAGAACCACGAGGTTTGGAGAGCTTCGGGGTTAGTGACCCACGGATGTGCTGGGAGGGTGGTGCTCCTGGATAGGGCACGGAAGCTCTGTCCTCCACCCTCCCTGCAAGACCTTGCATTACGTCAGTTCCCGCATTATACCCTTTACAAGAAAACCGATCATAAGCATAGCGCTTTCTTGAGTTCTGTGAGTTACTGTAGTGAAATATCAAACTTACGGGGCTGGCCTGGTGGCTTAGTGGTTAAGTTCGCTTCGGCAGCCCAGGGTTCGCCGGTTCAAATCCTGGGTGCGGACCTACTCACCGCTCATCAAGCCATGCTGTGGCGGCGCACCAACAGAAGAGCTACAACTTTACAACTATGATACACAACTATGTACTGGGGCTTCAGGGAGAAGAAAAAAAAGAAAGAGGAAGATTGGCAACAGATGCTAGCACAGGGCCAATCTTCCTCAAAAGAAAAAAAAAATCAAATCTAAGGGGAGGGCCACGGGAACCCGGAAATTGGTAATCAGCTGGGAAGACACTCCGAGGGTAGACTGAGAAGTCCATTTGCAGCTGGCATCCGAAGGGGGGCAGTCTTGTGGGACTGAGCCCTTAACCTGGGGGTCTTTGCCAACTCTTGGTAGTGTCAGAATTGAACTGAATTGTAGGACACCCAGCTGGTGTCAGAAAATTGAAAGTTGTTGGAAAACGACATAATATATATGTTCATTATCTTAATTTTGGCAATGGTTTCACAGATGTAGACAAAACTTACCAAATTGGACATCTGAGATACATGCAGTTTATTTTATGTTGATTACACCTCAGTAAACCTGTTTTTTTTTTTTTTTAATTATACTACAAGGATGCAATCAGCAAAATCTTGAGAATGGGATATTCTACACAACATGACTCGATTTCTTTAACAAAAAATTGAGGAACCTATAGTTCAAAAAGACTTAAAAGAAATAACAATCAGGCAGAATGGATGGACCTTATTTAAAACTCAATTCAAGTAAAAATGATTCTTATAAAAAATTGGAGAGATGTGCATACAGACTGAACATTTGATGATATTAAGGAAGTATTACTTTTTTAGCAGTGGCAATGTATTATGCTTATGTTTTTATATTTTAAAAGAGTTCTTATCTTTTAGAAATACACACAGAAATATTTACAGATGAAATAATAGATCATATCTAGGTATGCTTCAAAATAATGTAAAGGGAACTAGGAGGTATGGATGAAACAAGATTGGTTATGTGTTGATCATTGATAAAAAGCTGAGTGTTGTCTACATCAATTTCATTATATTATTCTCTCTTTCTGCATGTGTTTGAAAATTTCCTTACAGAAAATTGAAAAAAATCCAATTCTGGCATCCAGATTCCTGAACCATTACTTTACATACTTCCTCATCAAAATAAGGCATCTATACTACATATAATGCCATATATATTGATTGGAGGCTTAATGGTTTTTTTTTCTTTAATGCCAACTGTTTGGAGATACACCAACCCTACCTGTCATGACCTACTGGGGTCCTGCTATATAAATACAGAGTAAGTATA